AGGGCCAGCTCGGGTCAGCGACCAATACAGCATTGAGCTCCGGTGAACCCGTCAGGAACCAAAAGCCGATGTCCTCGCCTGGCTGGGCGGGCCGGATCAGACGCGTCGTATAGTGGTTAAAGGCATAGAAATCATACGAACCTGTTATAAAATAATTATTCTTTAATCAATAAATCCACCTTCACCTGTTTGTTTTTCTACATAGTGTCGTGATATCTGATTTTAGTCCCTACTTATATCTTTCATACAATCAATTCATATTTTCTTCTGTCTTTTACTTTGCAGCCAGTTATGTGCAATCTATACTAATGAATTGTTAGGGATAAAATTAATACCATGCTATAGAATTGGCGCAACTCTAGATTATCGGCATAAACGTCACGTCCCTAGCTGACAGATGTCAATGTCACTAGAAGTATGGATAGATTGGCGCGCATCCAGATTCCTGGCGAGAAGTGTTGCTCTGAGTTTAAAGCGACAGTATCAATTAAATAAGTTGTCTAAATTCTTAGTTATGTAGGATATTAGCAAGCTTTTTTATTTACATTTTTTTTAAATAAAAGCCCTACACTTACAATACGCTTTAGACTATGTATTTTCACGCTTTTAAACTTAGGGGTTAAATAAATTGGAAAATATGCATGCGGAAAGGGGACAAAAACTACACGCCAGCATCAATGAAGCAAGATTACCATGGTAACGATAATTGTTAGCCAATGTCAGCAATTTTGTTGTTCTCCGTGCATTTGTTTTTTGAAAACAATTGAAAACTAAACAAAAAACAATTTTACTAATATTATAAATGCGAAAGTTTAGATGGATGGATGTTTGTTAGAGTTTGTAGCATAAACGGCTGAACGGATCTCTGTAAAATTTGGCATAGAACACATAGGCTACTAACTTTTGTTTTTTTGAACTTGACGCGGACGGAGTTGCGGGCGAAAGCTAGTAATTTATAGTTTAATTTCAAGCGGTTTAACCCATACGGTAACAGCACGTTGTAATTATAATACCTCTTATTAATTGAATTTCTTCATTTGTGAAGCGTGGAAGTCTTGAGGAATGAAATCCTTGTTTCTTACTGTACTCCTCCATGACCTTTACAATAGATAGGGGCCATCCACCTTTCTTGGAATATATCGGATGAGAGTAACGTCCTGCCTATAAAGAAAAATATGTTTTTGTAATGAAAAAAAACAAAACATCCATACAAAATACATGGGAGGTTATTATTTTGTTTCTTTTTAATGTTATATTGTTTGGAAGTAGGTTCCGTTTATTATTAAACTTTTGCATGCATCATTAATCTACAGGGGAATGTAGAAATAGAACATCTCCCTATGCTATGTGTCCCCCCCTCCGGCAAATCATGGGGTAGTGCATGACTTAATACAATATAGCACTTACTGTGCTTACACATTGTGCACTTACTGTGTGTTGCAAACCCAATTCGGCTAGTTCTTCATCGGCGGGTGTTAGTGGTTCTATCCATAGTAGATTGTTAGCGAATGATACTTTACCTGCAAACAAAACACTTTAATAACAAAGTTGTAACATATTGCTATCCTATGTGTGAAAGTTTAGATGGATGAATGTTTGTTAGAGTTTGTAGCCTAAACGGCTGGACGGATTTCGATGAAATATGGCATATGTGTAGAAGATAGTCTGAAAAAATACATAGGCTATTCAATTTTGTTTTTTTTTCAATTCCATGCGGACGGAGTCGCGGGCGAAAGCTAGTATACAAATAAAGGAAATAATAGTACCCAGCCCAAAAAGTCCCTGATCTTCATGTAGGGCATAGAGCATAGCGGCATAGAGCTGCTCATAAAAAAGTTACATCCATCTAAACGATCGCATTTATAACATAAGTAAGATTACTTTAACTGGCAATTAAAAAATATAATCCTGTAGACTATACAGGACATAACATAAAAATTATATAAGATATTAAGAAAATCTATGTAACTCACCATGTTGCCGAGGTCGATAGTACTTCTCGTATATTCTGTAAGCTTTAGCATGAGCGATCAGTATGTGCTTATTGCATAGATAAGTGGCATAAATAGGTTCCTTTATACCGGGGGCTAAAATGCCACTGTTATATGCAAAATCGCAAACAGATATCGCCTCATTTATGGTTATCCAAATCTTCACGCGATCTCCGAAAAGGGAAAAAACGTAATTCGCGTAATCAGCAAAGTATTCAGCTATTAAAGGATTTGTCCAACCACCTGGAGCAATTAGAAACAATACATATTTCTCTCTCTCTCTCTCTGGTCACAAAGTTTTAAAGTCTTAAAGTAGAAGATTGAAAACGATCAAAGGGCCATTTTCGTTAGAATAGCGAAGCTAAAACCTTTAATGATCAGGGGATATACGAGTATGTACGTCTCTTTCCCCGTCAAATCCACTTAACACTTATATAAAATCACGGGAAGAGGAAGGGAATCAGTTAGTTTTATAACTCCGTGAAGCGCCCGCGGTGGATGTGGTAGAGCCCGCTTTGACATCACGCTCGAATGGGTCGGCTTGCCCAGCGCAATATCACAACCACACAGAAGTCTAGCGTGAAGTGGAAGTAATTCCTCGTAACTTGGATGAGTATGCTGGAGGTCCAGTTTAATTCAATTTTTCTACCCTTTTCTTATAAGGAAAGGATGGGATGAAAAAGTGGATTTGACGTTGGAGAAGAAGCGTAGAAAGGGAAAATATCCTCTTTAATAAGTCTCCACCGTCGACTAAGGGTAGGCAACTCAGCTGCAATACTGCGGATGTATACAAGCCGCGGTTGGTTCGCCATTTTGGAGGATACAGAACGCCGCTTTCTCGTATGCCACCTTATTGTATAAAAATGTTATGTGTGTTTTAGTGTACAACTAACCTAGGTCTTGTATAGGTTGTGGTAAGTCCCAGTGGTATAGTGTGACTATTGGTTCTATCCCTTTTGCTAGGAGTCCGTCTATCAGCTTGTTGTAATAGTTTTTACCATCTTCACTCTTATTGTTTACATACCCTGTTGGCAGGAGACGTGGCCAGGACACCGAGAATCTAAAAACTTTTTAATAAAAAAACAAAACCGACTTCCGAACAAAATACACTAAAAATAGTACGCTACGTACGTACGTACTCTAAAAAAACAGTACGCAAAAAGTAACGAAATAATTCCTTGAAAATAGTAAACCTTCCTTATTGTAGCTGTTATGTTTATATTGTACAATTACTTTGAAGTCGGTGTCTTTCAATGTAGATTCATTACTTAAACGTTACTATACTTTCAATTGTCAATTGTTATGGTAAAAATGTAGAAAGTCTTACGTATAAATATCACTGCATACCTCGGCTGACACCGACTTTAAAGTAATAATAATTGTACAATATAGACATAACAGCTACAATAAGGGAGGTTTCCTATTTTCAAGGAATTACTTTTTAGTGTAGTTAATGTTTTTAATGTATTGTTTGGAAGTCGGTTTTGGACCCATCAGGTGTACATCTTCAGGGCGAGTATTTAGTTTGCTTTCTTCGCGGTCGCGTCGCAGTAGTCGGTTTCGTCACCGGAATATCAAATGTAAGTTTAGCCTCCTTGGTCCTTAATTCGTTTAACATACGAAACTACACCATTACATGACTTTATTATTTACCGTGGACTGTTACAACGAAATTTACATTTAAAATCACATTGCTATATTATATCGTTCATTCCAATCTAAAGGAAGTTGGAATAAGCTAAAACTTTGAGATTATCGTCAGCTTATACCCTTTTTTTGCCGAAGGGGAATGCGTTACGCATACTCCGTGCCTCGGGGCAGGCACGAGAGCTATGTGGGACTCTCCCCATAATGGGGCATACCCACTAAACCCCTCCGTTCCCACAAACCGCCCCGGGAAGGGACCCTCGATGCGTCCCGATGAGTTGGGACGCTGCGCCCCAAGGCGCTCCTCGGTGGCAGCTTAAACCCTCTGCCGGGGCTCGAGCCTATTATTTAGTTCAAATTGAATGTACTTTTAGATTAATCTAATATTTACCTATAGAAGTGAAGTCCTATATCACTGGCTATGTCAATATCCGCCTGCCAGTTATGATAAGAGTCAGCCGCTATGTCTCCAGTTTCATCATTTTTTATTGCCCCAGGATTGTTGTGCACAAATGTGTCCCAAATGCTTACGCCTTTATCTAAAAAATAGCAAGTAAGGTCGGGATATTCTCTTGGGGTTTCAATCTCATTTTGTATTGTATTGTTCACAATCTCGTTTGATAGTTTAATAGCTCTCGCTCAAAATTAATCAAAGAATGTAATATAAATACCTACTTGAAATAATGGTTACTGCCTACTCTAGACTTAGCTTGTGCCATCGACTGGCCTCAAGACGGCCATGGTGTAACGTAGAATTTCTTTTCTCTTTCGCACGATATGCGTATTTACAAACACGCACACAAAACCATCTTATCATTTGAGTCAATAAGGCAAAAATTATCACAATCTATTTAACAGCGTATTTCCTTCCGTGTTGTACAAAAGTAAGTAAATAGTTTGTCTACGAAATTATTAAGATAACCTAGACACAATTTTTATTTAGTACAAGGTAACAAAAGAGCGAGTTGCCAACTTTCAATCATAACGCCATGATAATCTGTCTATACTTATGTTATAAAGAGGAAAGATTGGATTTTTGTTTAAATTGAAATAACTCAAAAAACATTGGGCCGATTTTAAAAATTATTTCACCATTAGAAAGGTAATTTATCTGTGAGTAACATAGGTTATATTTTATTATTACTAATGTTTAGGAACTATTAAGAAACAGCGTGTTTCTAGACGCCAGCGTTAAAAATTCACTAAACTTTAACTATTCTCGGCTTACTCTGCCTAAGCCGTTAGAGGTATATAAAAATAGTGTATGAAAGAATTGTAGATCTCAAAAAGTTCAACAGAAAAGTCCGCGATAGCATTTTTTGTATCTTTAACGGTTTTCCTACAATAACCACTTTTTTGTTTACAAAATGAATTAAAAACCGCAAGCTATTTGCGGCGTTCTTTTATTGGTTTCAATATTAATCCTTATCCAAATAAATGCGACTGTTATTTTTTTTTTTTTAGCCTTTTTATTCCAGTAACTGGACCCCATTCTGGGTATAGGCCTCCTCCAAACTTTTCCATAAGTCCCTATCTTTCCCTTTCTTCATCCATTCTTTTCCCACTTCTTGTACGATATCGTCTTTCCAACGTTGTTTTGGTCTGCCGACTTTCCTTGCGCCTGATGGGCCTGTCCATTTCGTGGTTTCTGTTGTCCACCTTCTGTCTGTGCAGCGTGCGACGTGGCCCGCCCATTGCCACTTTAGTGATAGTGCATGTCTTAGTGCATCTCTAATTTTTGTTTTTTGTCGTATCTTGACATTTTGCACTTTGTGTTTTTTCCTAATCCGTAATATGCTTCTTTCCATTGCTTTTTGTGTGTTTTCTATTTTTTGTTTAATATACTTTGTGTATGTCCATGTTTGGCATCCATATAATAGACATGGTAGGATACAAGTGTCCATCACTACTTTTTTCATGTTCATGCTATAGTTTCCTTTTAATATTTCTTTCAACGACCAAAATTTTTTCCATGTTAAAGCTATTCTTCTCGTAACCTCTTCTAAATTACTGTTTATGTTAAATGATACTTGTTTTCCTAAATAGATGTAGTTGTCAACATATTCAATTGTTTGTCCATTTTTTTGTATTGGTTTTTTGTCACTATTTGTCATTATTTTGGTCTTCATTGCGTTCATATCGAGCCCGACTTTTTTGCTTTCCTGATCAAGAGTTATTATCATTTCTTGTAGGTCTTTGGGTGTTTCCGCTACTATCGCAATATCATCTGCAAATCTTAGGTGATTCAGGTATTTCCCGTTTATTCTTATGCCTTTATGTGTCCAGTTTAATTTGTTAAAAATGTCTTGGAGAACAGCTATGAAGATCTTCGGTGATAGAGGATCTCCCTGTTTTACACCTCGTTCGATTTTGAAGGCTTCTCCACTGATTTCAAGTCTTACTTTGCTTGTGCTATTTTCATATATGTTTTTTATTATGTTAATATATTTTTTGTCTATTTTTAGTGAGTTAAGTGCATTCCAGATGGAGCTGTGATTGATGCTGTCAAATGCTTTGGTGTAGTCTATGAAAGCTATGTAACAGTCGCTTTACATAGCGACTGTTATTAGGAGAATTTAATGTAGATTTAAATTGTCTTTTACAGTATTTAAATTGGACTGATAGTTTACAAGATAACGCGAATACAAACAATAAGGGTAACCGAAAAATTAGTTTACAAGCTACCGGGCTTAGAAATTTGGAATCTTGCATCCGTAGATTTCTGTTATTACGTAGATTACTACTAAGTTACTACTTTTGGTAATAGGTTATAAAAAAGGGGCGAACGTAACTTTAGAACTTTCAAATTTCACGCGGACGAAGTCGCGGGCAAAAGCTAGTTTAAAATTAAGACAATACAATGTAGGTTAATTTCACTCTCACCTTAAGAACATCGAGTAAATAATGTAAATTTGAAAAACACATTGGTAAATTCCGGGAATCGATACCGAGACCTGCAGATTGCGCAGTCAATTGCTATAACCCCTGAGCAACCGACATATTTAACTATCTACAGGTCTCTACATATACATAATTAGCTGTTGCTGTTGGAGTTTTTATATGTTTGTATACTGGCAGGCAACACTGTACATACAGAGGATGGTTTTTAGTTTTAGAATAATATATTTCAAATTATAAAGAATTATATATTTGATGTTTTTATACGGAGACTTCACATCTCGACACGTACCAAGTAACATAGTAGGACTTATAGACTTTGTATAAAATATGGTTAAGATATTTTAAATATAATGATGATTAACTAGATGAAGAAAGTGTTTTAATAGCCCCACACCTCCAGAGCCCCGGACGGGCGAAAGTAACCGTCCAACAGATGCTCGCGACTTCGCCCGCGTTAAATTAAAGTATGTTACTAGCCGATGTTACTCGCAGATAAATTACATTTTAACGGTAAAAGATTTTTCCTCTTTAAAAATTATCAGTACGTTTCCCTTACCACTGACATTCCAAGCTCCTTCGATTTGATACGCGGCAGTGGCAGCACCAAATTTGAAACCAGTTGGAAATTTTCTCAGGTTTATGCACCACACGGTGTTTAAAACGCTGTAAGTGATAAGATGAAAGTAATTCCAATATACTCCTGAGGTCGGGAAACAACAGAGCCCAGCTGTTTTCTCAGAATTTTCCGATCATCGTACCCGTCTCGTGTTATTGCTCCAGCTTCGCACGAATGGGCCGGCACGCCCAGTGTCCCACGACCACACAGAAAACAGGCGTAAAGTGATGGAATTATTTAGATAACTGACTAGTTATAAAGATTTTTTAACAATTATGTAATAATTCTTACACATTCTGAAAGTCTTATTAACAAACTTTGGCAGAAAATATTGAACTACACGATGTTAACAGTTTCGTTCAACAGGCGGCCATAAAGAAATACCTACAAAACCTAAAGCCCGAAGCACGCTTAGTTTTATTTGTACATTCCGATTGTTCAGATTACAAAACCGGGATCTGTTCTATCTTCAGTTTTGGCTACACACGTTAGATTTATTTAACTATCTGATTGAGCAGATCTGATTTACCCGACGTTCTTACGGTGAAGGAAAACATCGTGATGCAACCTGCCCATATCGGCGAAGAAATTCAAAGATATGTGTGAAGTCAACCAACCCGCAGTGGGCCAGCGTGGTTGACTATGGCCTAGTCACCCCTTACTTAGGGTAGGCTCCGAGCCCCTCGGTGGGGACGTATAGTGAGCTGGTGATGATGATGATCCGACTGAGCGCGTGTAGCGGGCGTAATACATAAAAAATATCACCTTCTGTCACATACGCGCGAAAAAGAGCATCGACATTATAAAAATGTATAATAAACTATTTAATTGTTGCCTCGACTATTTTATTACTTTTCTATGATAAATTATGAACACAAAAATAAATGTCTAGACAAAGATAAAAAGAGGAAATACAAAAAAATTCTAAAAAGATTACAACGTACCTGAGCACTACAATGTTATAAAATAACATTATTCTGTTCAATATTAGACAAGGAAATGAATATTGTTACTAATTACCATATTTTTATATCAGTACCACTTGCAATTAAAGTGAACGAGACACTGAATTAAGCCTTGAATAACAGTTTTATATGTGCTAAAATATTTGCAGAGGATTTTTGATGTTTATCATAATAATCTATATAGTCACATAAAATCTTACTATCTGTAACCTTTACATTTTTCATAATCACATATCTTCACACACACATGATCATATTAGATGTGAATTTGAAGTTAGTTGTGTTGAAGCCGGAGTAACCGACAAGTTCAGTATGGCTTTGGACCTGCACCAGGGATCGGCTTTAAGCCCTTATCTCTTCCTCCTGGTTATCGACGCGTTAACCGTGGAGATCCAGGAGGAAACACCCTGGTGTATGCTGTTCGCCGACGACATTGTTCGTGTCGGGGAAGATGCGCTTGAGGTCCGAATTTATGAGAAGGGATGAATCGCATGTAACAAGACGGACGTTAATTATGAATATGGAGGGGTACATCGGTTGACCTAGAAAGAGATGAATGGATTGGTGACATGATCAAGAAGGGAGTGATGACTGAGATGACGGATGATAGAGTTATTTGGAAGACGAATACCCGGTGCGCCGACCCTACGGGAGTAGGATAAGGCAGGGGAGATGATGATGTTGATGATTATGATGTGAATTTTTGAAAGAATGTTTGTCACTTTATATCTCCAAAACTGCCAAAACCGTAATAAAACATAGTGGCACAGATGAAGAACACAGTCTAGAAGAACAATATGCTATTTACTATTTTTTTAATATCACACGGACGAAGTCGCAACAGCGAGTTTAGTTATAAAATATAGAAAAACGACTGGTTTCATGTGTTTATTTATGTTGGTTAATTTTGGAAAGGTGATTTTGGCGCGGTTTGTAGTCCATACCTAGGGTACATATGACAGACAGATCTTTCGATCGACTTTTAGATTCCTTAAGCTTAAATGGCATTATTGGATCAAAAATCACAACAGTAGCAGTTTTAGCAATAGTAGAGCCCGTTTTAACATTTTAGCACAAATTGGCCGGCTCACCCACTGCAATATCTCACACAAGGGCGGATCCAGCTTTGGCGCCAGGGGGGGGTCAATTAGTCGTGGTCAAATCAAGAGCTTGACCAACTAGCTCAGGGGGGTCATGACCCCCATGCCCCCTCCCCCCCTAGATCCGCCATTGACCACATAGAAGACAGGCGTGAAGTGCTGGCAATTCCGCGTCTAGTCTGATGAGTGTGTTAGTCCCTTTTGGTATTTGGAAAAGTGTAGTTGACGGTAGAGGAGTCGAATAGGAAGGGGAAACATCCTCTTTATGTGCGTCTCCTCCTCAGTCGATTTCGATTCGAACCCAAGACCTGTAGATTACAAGTCAAGTGGTTAAACCACTGAGCCACCGACGTTCCTTTATTACCTTCAAAGATGTGGTGACGATTATTCAAGGAATTTCAATGAAATATCATATTTTTATCACATTTTCAACCTTCATTCTACCTTTACCTATATTAATGGTATTTGTTATCATAGTAATGCATATTTTTATATCTTTATATTGTTTTACTGTAAAAAAAACTTATACATGAACACATTTTTGACAGTATTGAGCCCGCGTTGACATCTTCGCATGAATGGGTCGACTTGCCCGGTGCAATACCACGACCAAACATAAGACAGGCGTGAAGTGGAAGTAATTCCGCGTTTCGTCTGATGAGTGTGGTGCCGGAGTCCTAATTTGATACCCCTTTCCTTTCCCACTATTTTCTTATACGGAAAGGATGGGATAGGAAAGTAGGTTTGACGGTGGAGGAGTCGCATCGGAGGGGGAAATATCGTCTTTGTGTGCATCTCCCCCTACGCTTGTTAAAGGTAGGCAACGCATCTGCAATTGCGGATGTCTATGGGTAGCGATAGCTATCGCTTAGCTTTCTCGGTGAATAGAGGTAGCCGCTCGCTCGTTTGCCACCTTATAATATATAAAAAAACATATGATTCAAATTGTAAACGACCCCAGTTTCAGTACAATATGTAATCTTTCATACATTATCAATATTATTCTGCACTCATTCTCCTCTTACGCACTTTTGACCAACTTCCCAAAAGGAGGAGGTACTCAATTCGTCTGTATGTTTTTTTTTTTATTATGTTTGTTAATCTAGCGCTAACCCCGAACCCACCACTTATCATATTTGGACGGAAACTTATTTCAATCTTTTGCAGTATGCACAAGGAACGATTACTCAGAACATCGTACAATCTCATCATACTTCGACTCTTCCATACAATCCATCCATAGTTTCTTCGGTCTTCCTTTGCCTTTCATTAATAAATAGCAAAGTTGTCACTGAGTAACACAGACTGATTTTTTCCATTTTATAATTCCACGCGTACGAAGTCGTACATACAAATGACTCCTCTTTATGACATTTTTTATAACATAAGGTGGCAAACGAGCAAGCGGCCACCTCAATCCGCCAAAATAGCGAAGCAACCGCTGCCCATAGACATCCGCAATTGCAGATGCGTTGCCTACCCTTATCCGACGGAGGAGACGCACATAAAGAGGATATTTCCCCTTCCTATGCATCTCCTTTACCGTCAAATCCACTTCCCGTTCCCATCTTCTCCTTATAAGAAAAGGGTGGTAAAGGAAAAGGGACTTAAATTAGGCCTCCGGCACCACACTCATCAGACGAAACACGGAATTGCTTCCATTTCACGCCTGTCTTCTGTGTGGTCGTGGTATTACACCGGGTGTGCCGGCCTATTCGTGCTAAGATGTTAAAGCGGGCAATACCACTGTTAGTATAAAGTATATAAGTATAGATGTACATTAAAATATAAATTAATACAACATTGTACTATGTTAAATAAACCTTATGTAGTTAATTTAATCACAACATTATTTTTTTAAAATAAAGACATTAAACCTTATTGGATGTAGCAGGTGCCTTAAGATTAAACGTTACTTCCTCTGAAATACAATGTAATATGGCCGTGAAATTCCTCACAAATGTATCAAAACATTGTCGTCTCTGTTCTCTTCAATATAACCGACAAGGATGGCAATATGTTTTATACAAGTCTTTCAGTGGGAACGACTTAATTACATACTTGTAATACCATTAGTTATTTCCTTAATTTAATTAACTATTATGGTTTTTTCGCTGTGTTTAACATGAATAAATAATTTATTAACACCTTGTATAAACTATTTACACCGATGATTGCCAAAACAGATTTTAATGAATAAGAATTCCATGTACAATCGAGGAAATCCGAGGTGTTCCACTTCAGAAACCGTATCTTCGTTCACCTTGTTCCTTGCAAAGAGACCGTATCTTGTAAATAATGAATTAGGTAGTCGTTACTTGCTCAAACTATGGGATATAAATAAAAAGCAATAAAACGTGTGACTGGCCGACCTATATTCCTAGAGTTATTTAAAAGCTGCGTCCTAATATTCCGTGTAATCGTCTCTTCAATACAAAACGTTTAACGTGCCACTTTAGCTTCTATGGTAGTGCCATTTTCCCTGATTGTACATCCTTGCAGTTGCACGCTTAGACAACATATGCACAAAGTTTCTTATGGAGGTTTCGAGAAGTTTCTAGTGAATTTTTGTCAATAATATTTGTAAAACACTTTTACAGACTCTTCGACTATCTATACTATTATAATAAAGCGTAAATACATACTTTTTTGTTGCCTAAGATGTCATTGATTACAGCATATTTTTGAATAATCCTTTTATTTAGCAAAAAGCCCTATAGTTACGCCACGCCACGCTATATTTTCACGCCATTAAACTTAGGGGGTTAATATTTTGGATAAATACCATAATGTGGGAAAGAGACCATAAGTTGCTGCCAACATCAAGGAAGCAAGGCTGCTATGCTTTGTCATCATGTCGGTCACATTTGCAATTGATAATTTGACATATGTGAAAAATAAAATAAATTTTTCATAATTTCATGTGGATGAAGCCGCACAGGAACAGCTAGTATTGATTAATTAATTCAGATGGCGAATTGCTTTACAAATATATTTAATTGATTTCGATTGAGATTAAGGTTTTTACAATACTTCCGAAAAATATAATCGAAGGTAATAGAAGGTATGAATCCTACCTAATTATAATACTTACAAATCAACTGGCCCGGTGAATGAGGCGCTGTTTTCATAGTTAAACCTACAGAGCCGCAGACAATGATATTACGGTACAAGAGTCATGTCAAGTCCCTAGTTTATACATGACGTGTAAGCCGTATCTATGACGTGTAAGCCGTATCTGTCGCATGCAAAAAAAATGTAACTACCCAACGAGAATGTACAGGGTTCTCACAAACCAAAAGGTTTAAGAACCTGAAGGAAAAGAAGACGATATTGTGCTGTATTTATAATCAATAAATCAAATAAAATAAATAAATAAAAAAATCTTGTGAGAATTGTTTACATCGATACTAGGGAGCTAGTTTCACTTATGTCCACGTCAGATAAATTTGCGGGTCTATACCACTGGCACGCATGCCATAAATGGCACAAGACATTTTGGGGCCGTCAATAATTATAAAACACGACGAAATTTTTTTGAAGTATGTGCACCATGGAATTGACGTAATAATCGCAGTCAATTTGATAGCACGTCGCACTTTGATGTATGAATTCGCCACCCCTGGTCTACCTTTATTACCTTTGACAATAGTTTGTCAAAACCTCCATCTCTCGTTAGCACTCGAAACAATAACAACAGGAAATCGTTACATACTTCCTTCATTGAAAACTTTGTTTAATGAATTAAATCCTCTTTACTTATGTTTAATTTATTACATGTAAGTGTTAGGTTTTTTAATTACATGTTAATTTTATGTTGTATATAGAGAAATCTGATCAATATGCAATATGAAACCACTGTGGCAGGTTGTTTTCTGGTGAGCTTGATATTGTAAATTTATTTCGATTATAGAAACTTATCTTATTTTTTTTTCATTTTCATTTTTTTTCATTGTTTATTCCCTTTTTTTTAATCTATCAATGTTAAGTCACCCAACTTGTGTGTAAACACCTGTGTGTAAAGGGGCCAGCTGAAAACCAGCGCAGAAACGGCCTGCGCCGTCTCTGCATTAGCTGAGCTTGCCGCCTTTTGCCACATTTTCTTTTTTTTCTAGCTTTAAGGGTGATGTATGTAAGATTTCATTTGTAGCTTGTTTTTGTGGCAATAAAAGTCTTATCTATTTTATTTTTTTTATTTATCTTTTACAGTATAATTAGTAACTTGTAAAAATAAACTAACAAGATTAATTAAAAAGTTTATTTCTTGCTAACGCATGAGTTATTAAAGTAGGTAACATATATATTTCGTGGGTATGTTTTTATGCATTTCATTTTGTATACCTTTAGCCTAAACAAATGAATCCATTTTTTCGATTGAGGTGTACATCGATTTGAGTTTTTTTTTCCTGAATAAACTTGTATTTCTCAGTGCTTTGATATACACGGTGCGTGCCTCAGTCAAGTTTCCACCAGGCTTCAAGTTCGGAGCCGCCGCGTCAGCATATCAAGTGGAAGGAGCTTGGAATGTCAGCGGTAAGTTACATACTAGATTACATCTTTATATTTATTTAAGGAACAAGGAATTTCTTAAAGTGGAACACCGACAAGTGCCCTCACTGTACATTTAAAATATTACGTATTATATCAGATAATGTACAATTCTTCAACTAATTATGAGAGGCAAAATCGCAGGCAAAAGAAGCTGGAAGAACAAAGAAATCGTGGTTGTGAAATATTCAGATGTGGACGAATATTGCCTATATTTATAGGTACTAATATTGCCTATATTTACAGGACGAATATTGCCTATATAGGTGTTTTTAACACCTATTTCGTTTGGCACAAGACCGGGAAAAGTTCTCTGAGCTGACGGCCAAATTCCATTACTGGAGAGGCACTTAGAGAGAGAGAGAAAATATATACAATTGCTTTGTCCACAGACAAGGGTCCAAGTATATGGGATAAACATCTCCATGGCAACCCTGCTGTCATCACGGATCGTACTAACGCTGATGTCACCTGCGACTCCTATCAGCATTGGAGAGATGATGTTAACATTGCTGCGGATCTTGGGCTACATTTTTACAGGTATATTTTAATGTATAGTTATTAAGAGTTCACCTTTGACTAAACAATCCCAAAACTGTTTAGTCGCGCTTTAATTCCTGTGAGTTTACATGGAGATGCTTTCTTAATTTTAGTTGTGCAACTAAACAGTTGAATTGGCTACGAAACAATTGACAATCGCACAACCCGCTCTTATAATTTTTTTTTGTGCTTAGGTTCTCGATATCGTGGACAAGACTCCTGCCAACGGGTACAAGTGAAAGAATAAGTGAAGACGGCAAAGCTTATTACAACAAACTAATCAACGGTCTGCTAGAGAAAGGCATACAGCCTGTAGTCACGCTCTACCATTGGGACTTGCCACAGAGATTACAAGACTTAGGTAAAGTTTTTAAAAGTCCTTAAATATACGCACTTTTGGTTAATTTGTCTTGAATACTTTGCTCTAAGTTGAGTTATATTTTAATATTACTAATGTTATAAATGCGAAAGTTTAGGTGGATGGATGTTTGTTAGTTTGTAGCCTAAACTGCTGAACGGATCTCGATGAAATTTGTCTTGAAGAACACATAGGCTACTGTTTGGTTTTTTTTATAGATTCCTCTCCGAAAGCTAATATCACAAGAGGAAAGATTTGTCTTTTTGTATGTATAGAAATAACTCAAAACTACTGGGCCGATTACAAAAATTTTTTCACCATTACAAACCTACCTTATCGATGAATAACAAGCTCTCATTTTATCCACTATTTGTATTTATCTTTTAATTGGTAATAAATTTCAATTTCAATTTCAATTTCTTTGTTACTATTATTTTTAATTCCACGTAGACGGAGTACCTGGCGAAAGCAAGTTATAATAGATGAGCTATTAATTAAATTGATTACAGGAGGTTGGACTAACCCTTTGATCGCAGATTGGTTTATGGACTATGCAAAAGTTGCTTTTTCTTTATACGGCGATAGAGTGAAGAC